GTTAGGGCAGGTACTGCTACTGTCTTCCACAGTTCTCTCCCTACCCAGTAACTGCTGCAGCTATAATAGGCCTATGCCTTCGTTGCTATTATCCCTCGGTATTTCCTTGCCTTTACTCGCACTACACCTTCATGTAGTTCGACACAGTTTTCTATGCTATTGTTTATTTCAAAGCCTCAGTAGCAGCTTGGCTCTGTGAAAACGCGAGCACACAGTACACATGTGAACTGGAGCAGTGTGGAATCCCAACGAATGCAACTCAACTGATACAGCTTCTTTCAAGATTGGAAGCTAAACTAGGAATTGCTTGTGGAAGCCGTAAAACCTCTTATGTTATACAACCTGATAGTGACATGTTTGTATTTTTAATGAGTATTACTCTACCTAACGTGTGACCATTATACAACCCTGTAAATTTGATACCATTTGTGAAGAATAATATGTTTGAAGACTGATCAAATAAAACGTCTAGTACGTATTATTATTTGTAATTTTTATGTCTCTTTCCGAGAAGGGAAATTTGTATATGTGTATGTATAAATACCTACGCGTACTCACTCACGCACGCACATGCACACACGCACGCAAACACTACGGAAGAGAACCGATGTTTGAACACTGATCTAATAAAACGCATAGTACGTATAATTATTTGTAATTTTCATCTCTATATGTAAATGTATATATAAACACAGAGGCACGCACGTACGCACGCACACATAATTGCTACGGAAGAGACCACAAGAGGATGGTGGATTGGGAGAGGAGGAGGAAAAGAAAAAGGAGAAAATCAAATAGGTACAGACAATGAGTGGGATTTCTTTTTATAAACAATTGTATCATCACAAATGCACAACATAAAAAGATATCGAAAAAGCACATGGTATCATGTAGGCCTACTCCCGATAACATGCATGTAAGTTGTTAATGCAAATTGTACGTTTGTTTTTTATCTGAAAACGCTGAAAAAATAGGAAATCTTGATTTCTTGTTTATTATGTGAAATACAAAGAAAACTGCATTAGAAACACTAGCCACACAGAAAACATAATCGAACAATCATAATGTGTACGTACGACATACCCACGCACAGGTACAGATGTTATACACTTTCAGTAGATTTTGATTTTAAAATTATATTTCCGTCGCCACACGCATCACCGACTACAGTGGCGCCACATAGGTGACCATACTCCGTGCTCGAATGATTGGCAGACATTGTTGGTGACCAACGTCGCTTTCCCGACGCAAATAATTAATTATCTAATTAATTAATTAACTAAGCTAAACCGATAGAATTTGTCAGTACGACGTCATGATCGAATTACATAACTCCCTCCTCTCGGATCGCCGATGACGACGACCTACCTGGAGGTATCGAGACAGCCACAGATGTACATAATCGTGTCAAAACTTCATGCGAATATCCACTAAATAGACACTAGCCATCAGCTATATTTACAATTCATCAATCATACGTTGTTTACAAGCGATTACAATTAACGTATCCTGATATACCGAATTTAATGATGTCGCGAAAGCTAACACGCCACGGCGCACGCTACACGAGGGATGAGCACGCACGGATTTTCTCATGCACGCACGCACGCACGAGTTTTCTCACGCACGCACGCACGTACGAGTTTTTTTTACCGCATTTCATACAGACGCGTGTCTTATCAACGTTATGGATTCATACTTGAAAACAGGTGACTAATCGGTCAAAATCTAAAATTATATCAATCTAAAATCAATCGTGTCATCTAATTATCATCATATCATCTAATATAAATCAATCTAAAATCAATCTAAAATCCAAATCAAATCTAAACGTGACTATCGCGAGTCGGCGACTACAGAGCAATGGTCGGGTGTAGACACGGAAATTAGATTGAGTTTCAGGTGCCGCGTTTCCTGTCGCCATAGCAACAGTAGAACACACTCACGCAGGTACGAACGCGCACACACACAGACGCACACACACAGACGCATGCACACACACACACACACACACACACGCGCGCGCGCGCGCGCGCATGTACGAACGCGCGCACACACACGCGAGGCAACGACATAATATCGTCAGGGTTGGAGGAAGGTAAATAATGAGGTAAAGTATGATAAATATATGTACATACATACATACCAAATACATGCAGTTATTCAATTAAAAATGACAACTGTTTCAGTCTCCATATTTTCTTTGCAACGCGGCGTTGTGATGTCTCGTTTCCCCACAGCGTCGAATGAAATTATCTATTACGATCTCTGCCGCTGGGTGGCGTAGTGTCGAGCTTAAAAGATAGTGCAAGACGACGTACGAATAATCTAGTATCTTATATAATAATCTAGAATTTTCTGGAAATTACTCAATTAGGTCTGAATGCCAAGGCCACGTCTTAATAACTAAAACTGCTCAGTGTTACTAACTTCCTTGTAAGATGGCATGGCATAGCCTAAGCTCTCTCTCTCTCTCTCTGA